AAGCCCCGGTGGCTTTAAACCACACGTATTTATTTTCCTACAGTTTTGGAGGTCAGAAGTCCTGATCAACTTCACCAGGTTAACAGCAAGGTGTGGACAGGGCCACATTGCCTCTGGAAACTCTACAGGACAATTTGGTTCCTGGGCTTCTACAGCTTCTACTGAGGTGTTCCTCACAGTCCTTGGCTCGTGGTTCCTTCCATCTTCAGAGCCCTTCTTGTACCATTTTGCTTCAGTGGTGACATTGCCTTTTCTTTTCCCCCTCCCTCTTAAAAGGACACTTGATTTCATTGAATGCCCATGGATAATCTAGGATAGTGTCCTATATCAAAGTCCCTTTTTCCATACGGGGTAGCATTCAGGTTGTAGAGATGGACTGTCTGGGTATCTTTGGGACCATTTTGCTACCTACCACAATGAACAAGGTCAAGTCGTGTCTGTCCCAATCTCAATCCCCTCCCTTTCCATGAAAGTAACCACTCTCCTCCCAATTTTTATAGTCCTCACTTCCTAATGTATTATAATGGCTTTGTTGCTGAATGTATATCCTCATGTTGATTTGTATTGTAACCTTTCTTTTTTCATTCTGTAGCAGGGATACTTTTACAGAGAGTTTCTTTCTCTTGCCTGGTTACCAGTGTCACAGAGTGAATGTGGAAAAAAAGGATAAATGCTTGATTATTTCTACTTTAAATTTTCAAGTTTTCAAGATAAGGAATCAGCACTCATCTTTTTTAAATGTCATTATAAAAACATGTATTTAAACAGATTCAATGGATTTCAATCAGTTGCAATTATAATTCTTTTCAAATTGTCCCACTAAGGTCAGTGGGAACCTCTTCAGGTCAGTGTAGGGAATCTTTTTTGAATGACTTAGTAGTTGTAGATACTCTCCTTCCTAGTTGTCATGACAAGGTGTTCTATATGTGTGTGTGTGCTAAGTTGCCTCAGTTGTGTCTGACTCTTTGCAACCTTATGGACTGTAGCCTTCCAGGCTCCTCTGTCCATGGGATTCTCCAGGCAAGAATACTGGAGTGGGTTGCCATGCCCGCCTCCAGGCGATCTTCCCGATCCAGGGATCAAACTCACGTCTCTTACGTCTCCTGCATTGGCAGGTGGGTTCTTTACTACTTGCACCACCTGGGAAGCCCAAGGTGTTCCATATTCATCCCTAATATTTCCTGTCTGGGACTTGGAATCTGATTACAGCTTGGGTGCCAGTTGGTACCCATTACTACATTCCTAGGTTGGCCATCCTTCCTGAATCTTTTTGGTGGACAGAGCTAGGACAGACACACAGACACACACACACACACACACACACACACACACACACACTATAATTCTGATTGTGTGTGTGTGTGTATTGGATATCTTGTCACTTCGTGTTTTTGGTAAGTGTTGTCTGTGGTTTTTAGTTTTGCCATCTAGTTGCTCTGTTCTGTTATGTGCAGATTTGGAGAGACTGAAAGTGTTTGGTGCCACAACTACCAACTTCCTGGGATGCAGTTTACTGATTTTTAATCAAACCTTTTTGAAAACTTTTAAGTCTAACTGGGTTAATCACGAGTCATTTTGCCATGGTGGGCAACACAGTTTCTTCAATATCTCAGCTGGTTGACTGAGATCACTTCATTAGACTCCTTACAATCGTATGTAAAAATTTGGAGACACAAATTTGCTTTTAGAAAGTAGGCTTTTGCTCACTTCTCTTTTTCATCATACTACATTTCATTGCTTCGGTGATTAGAGAGAGAATCACATTGGCTGAGCCCTTACTGCCCCTCTTCATTTGGCAGCTTACAAACTAAAGAAAATCAACACCTGTGTTCCACGGAAAAGGTGGCTGAGTATCGGTTTCTAGTGTGTATCAGGCATGACTCTGAATATGCTTCGTCTGTGTCTAATATTCAGTTCCATCCTCAATATAATATTTGGCATCATTGAGAAAATATTGCCGAAAATGAGCTACAAATCCTGAAGACAGTTTCCAAATAGAACGTGGGCATTTGGCTGTACCTAAATGCCACAGTAATGGATAATTTTGCCATTGAGAAGGGCAGTGTTCTGTTCCAGATAAGATGTAAAAATAAAAATCTTCTTTTGTCATAGCTCTAAGTCTCAATGGATTTTGCAGCTATTAGTATAAGGATATTTAGCTGTCTTCCCAAGGTAAATGATCTGAGTTAGATATTTCCCTTTACAGTCCCCCTTCATGAGGGAAAATACTGGAATTTAACAAAAGGTTTCTATTTTATTATTAGATGTTGGAACTTAAAATATGGGTGAGGCTATATGTATCATTTGAACTCTGGTTGTCTTTTGGAATCTTGATTATTTTAGAATACCATTTGTCTGATTCTCAACTCTGACTTGACCATAGAATGACCTAGATTTTTAAAAATACTAATGTCCTGCATGCTGCTCCAGTCTTCTTATTTAATGGGTCTGGTCTTGAACCCAGAAATCCTTCCTACGTTTATTTCTTCTTAGCAGCTCACTCTGTGCTTTTAATGCTCAGCTTTGCCCTGTCTGATTAGTTCAAAAACCTATGGTTTCCATTATTAAGTTTAGTTGGTCCCCATTAGCACAAATACTGGTTCAATTTCCTTTAAAACATAAAGTTTAAAAAAAAAAAAGTACCAACAACCAAATTAAATAATTACATAAAGTAATGCCAGTTCTATTGAGCTTGGCATAAATGTATAAATTTAGCCCCAAGAATAAAACAGAGATTAAAGCCACAGAGCCAGAACTTGAACTAGGATCCCTAATGGAGATTAATATTTTCTTCAGCAGTCTGCCAGCTGAATCATGGTCTAATTAAATAGTTCAGATTTAGTGAGTTTGCATTTAAAATATTAGCAGATCCGAGAATGGGTTAAGCTAAAATGAGTTAGAATCTTTTCTGTAAATGGGAAGTTAAATTATCATAGTAATTTGATTAAATCATTTTTAAATCTCTCAAGCTAAATCACCGCCTTTAAAGAATAGTTTGAAGTCTTAATTGCTGTTTGTGAGCATATCTCTCTGCTATTTGTCCTCGCCTCATTTCCTGTGACATTCTATAATATATCTCCTGCTGAGCAAGAGCAGTGGGGAAGGCAAGACTTGGGGTGGAGGCCGAGGTGACCGTACAGCTGACTTCAAGCATTTAAAGATCTGCCATGTCAAAGACGACAATGTATCCTGTATGGTCTCAGTAGTTAGAACCAGGGCCAAAGGATGAAAGCTAGAGACAGATTTGGGAAAATATGAAGAAGACATTTCTAACAATTAGCTCTGTTCCTTGTTAAGTAGAAAGCTGTTCATGCAACTGGCAATGTCACCGTTAGATATGTTGTAGACAAGACTTTTGATGAAGATGGAAAGTTGAGTGAGATGAGCTCAGAGGACAATTTCAACTCTTTTATTTTCTTTTAAAGGAAATGTCATGTCCCATGTTATAAATTCTGGCAATATACTTTGATTCAAAGACACCTGAGTTTAATCCTACTCTGACACTTACTAGCCCTGCCACCTGCCTCACAGGGCTGTTGGGAGATGAATGAATTAAAGTTCATAAAGTGCTTATCAGAGGCCACACCCAAAAGCAAATATTTAAGAAATGGTTTAGTTATAATATTTTTCTGCTTTTTTTCATTTTTTCAAGTTTTTAAATTTTTTGGCTGCGTCTTGCAGCATGTGGGATCTTAGTTCCCTGATTGAGGATCAAATCCTTGTCCCCTGCATTGGGAGAATGGAGTCTTAATCACTAGACCGTGAGGGAGGTCCCCTAAAACTGTTTTAAAGAAATCTGTTGTTAACAATAGTCAGTGCATCAATGATGTGATGAAACAATTTTAAAATGGCAATGTAAAAATCAAAACAAAACAGTAAAGAAAATACCTAGAAGTTTTTAAAGCATTTACTGGTTATAGCCATCAATCTTTTAATTACCTTGCCGTAATTCATTTTCATCATATGTTTAGCTACTTGATTTTAAATTACATTTCCTCTCTCTTTTTGGGCATGTGATCTGATATTTGAATTATATGAAAGATTAGGCTAACTACATATATCTCAGAGCTCTGCATTCTCAGAGAACTAGAATTATTAAACATGAAGAACCCCCCAAAGACTCCATTATGTGTAATTAACAGATAAACTGTCATCAGAATCAATAAAACGTGCTAAATGATTCAAACTTGTATATAATTAAGTGTCTGTTTTAGAGCTAGAGCTGTAACTTTTATTTTTTCCTTCACATCTCACATTTCTCGCAAGAGTAATTGTGGCAACCCTGTTAACCCTTTGCTTGCTTGATTGAATTAGATTTTTAAATTAGTCACTTACGGGCAAAGTTCACCTTCACAAATGTGAAAAGTTATTTCAGAATTCATTAAAGACTTCATGTGTTTTTTTGTAGAGAAGTAGCCTAGGTAAGGATGCTTTAATGAACTATTAAGAGAACACTAAAAATTCTGGAAAGATGAGCAGTTTATTATGATTTGTGTACAGTCTACAATGGAACATAGTATTAGGTTCAATGTATTTTCATGGATTTCTTACAGTTTTGGTTATTGACTTCTTTTTTTCCCTTTTGGGAAATATGGGCTTTTTGAGCACAAGATCTGATTTTAGACAACATTACCTCCATGGCACTTAGGATAATTTTTTAACAGATGGCCTTTTATAATTGTTGAATGAATGAATAAATATATGAATGAAATAATGAATAAAACAGCCAAGACTATATTCTATGAAAGTCTTCTCTTGCTTCGTTTCCAGAAGGAAAAACCCACATGTTTGAAATAAATGGATTTTTGTAGTAATTCCCACCTCCTAAGTCAGCATTGGAAATTATCTATTGCAGTGAAATTTAGAAAAATAAAATGGAGATTTTGGAAGCCCCCGAGCAATTCACAGCATAGAGAAATTCAAGAATAAGACAAATTTCACAATTCGAATTGCCATGTTTTTTTATTATTGTTAACATTGTTTATCTTCTTGGCTTGTAGACTCCATGCACATAGAAGATGTCGAAGCCGTTCAGAAGCTTCAGGATGTCTTACATGAGGCCCTGCAGGATTATGAGGCCGGCCAGCACATGGAAGACCCTCGCAGGGCTGGCAAGATGCTGATGACGCTGCCGCTTCTGAGGCAGACCTCCACCAAGGCCGTGCAGCATTTCTACAACATCAAACTGGAAGGCAAAGTCCCCATGCACAAACTTTTTTTGGAAATGCTGGAGGCCAAGGTCTGACTAAAGGCTTCCCAGGGCCATCCTATCCTGCACGCTGAAAAAGGGAAAATAAACCCAAGAGTGATGTCAAAGAAACTTAAGAGTTTAGTTCACAACGTCAAAAATCAACAAAGACTGCACTGATGATTTAGCAGCAAGACTATGAAGCAGCTTTCAGATTTCTCCGTATCTTCCTGATGAGTTTCTTCCTACCTTGATCTCATCTTTTCTCCATATCTTTTCTCACTTTCTTTTCCTCGTTATTTTTTCCCTCCCTCCCTAGTCTTCCTCTCCTTCCTTCCTTCCTACTTTCCTTCCCTCCTTCCTTCTCCTGTATCCCTTGTCCATCCTGTCTTATTCTTCCACTTTCTTTTAAACTTTAATATCTCTAGTCGTAAGAACATTTTCCTTCCTTTCTCTTTCCCTCCCTCCCTTCTTCGGTCTTTCTTTTCTCCCTTCCTTCCTTTTTTCCTCCCTTTTTTCCTTCTTTCCTTCCTTCCTTCTGCTGCTGAACTTTTAAAAGAGGTCTCTAATTGGAGAGCTATGGAAGCCAGCCCTGCCAAAGGATGGAGATCCATAATATGGATACCAGTGAACTTCTTGTGAACCGTAACGTCCCCAATGACTAAGGAATCAAAGAGAACCACCGTACCTAAAAGTACAGTGCGACACACACGAATTGACTGAGTGCAGTATTAGATTCCACGGGAGCAGCCTCTAATTAGATGACTTAAGCAACGTTACATCGGCTGCTTCTTATCATTGCTTTTCCATCTAAATCAGTTACAGCCATTTGATTCCTTAATTGTTTTTTCAAGTCTTCCAGGTATTTGTTAGTTTAGCTACTATGTAACTTTTTCAGGGAATAGTTTAAGCTTTATTCATTCATGCAATACTAAAGAGAAATAAGAATACTGCAATTTTGTGCTGGCTTTGAACAATTATGAACAATAATGAAGGACAAATGAATCCTGAAGGAAGATTTTTAAAAAAATGTTTCATTTTCTTCTTACAAATGGAGATTTTTTTGTACCAGCTTTACCACTTTTCAGCCATTTGTTAATATGGGAATTTAACTTACTCAAGCAATAGTTGAAAGGAAGGTGCATACTATCACGGATGCAATTTATGTTGTGTGCCAGTCTGGTCCCAAACATCAGTTTCTTAACATGAGCTCCAGTTTACCTAAATGTTCACTTGACACAAAGGATTAGATTACACCTGCAGTGACTCCGAGTGGTCACTGCACATGGAATACAGATCCGTAGAGTGATCAGGAGCGCACCTCTCTCCCTGGGAGGTCCAGTTGCCATAGGATTTCTAGCTGCCACGGTGGTTAGGAATGAAATACTGCCTGTTTGCAAAGTTACAGACTTTATCCCTGAAGGAGCTGTGAGCCAGTATTCACTTAAGAGGCAATAAGGCAAATGCCAGGATTTGAAAAAAAAAAAAAAAAATCATCAAAGACAGCAGACGCCTGACCAAATTCTAAAACTCCCTGAAGGAGCTGTGAGCCAGTATTCACTTAAGAGGCAATAAGGCAAATGCCAGGATTTGGAAAAAAAAAAAAAAAAAATCATCAAAGACAGCAGACGCCTGACCAAATTCTAAAACCCAATCTCTATGAGTTGATTCATTTAGAAATGTTTGTTAAAATTAATCTGCAGTTTTTACCAAGAGCTAAGCCAGTCTATGTGCTTTTCAACCAGTATTGTCACAGCAAGAAAGTCAGTCAGGTTCCAGACTGTTAAGAGGTGTAATCTAATGAAGAAATCAATTAGATGCCCCCGAAATCTACAATTGCTGAATAACCAATAAACAGTAACCTCCATCAAATGCTATACCAATGGACCAGTGTTAGTAGCTGCTCCCTGTATTATGTGAACAGTCTTATTCTATGTACACAGATGTAATTAAAATTGTAATCCTAACAAACAAAAGAAAAGTAGTTCAGCTTTTCAATGTTTCATGTTTGCTGTGCTTTTCTGAATTTTATGTTGCATTCAAAGACTGTTGTCTTGTTCTTGTGGTGTTTGGATTCTTGTGGTGTGTGCTTTTAGACACAGGGTAGAATTAGAGACAATATTGGATGTACAATTCCTCAGGAGACTACAGTAGTATATTCTATTCCTTACCATTAATAAGGTTCTTCCTAATAATAATTAAGAGATTGAAACTCCAAACAAGTATTCATTACAAACAGATACACGTCAGAATCATAATAATATTTTCAAAACAAGGAATAATTTCTCTAATGGTTTATTATAGAATACCAATGTATAGCTTAGAAATAAAACTTTGAATATTTCAAGAATATAGATAAGTCTAATTTTTAAACGCTGTATATATGGCTTTCACTCAATCATCTCTCAGATGTTGTTATTAACTCGCTCTGTGTTGTTGCAAAACTTTTTTGGTGCGGACACGTTTCCAAAACTATTGCTACTTTGTGTGCTTTAAACAAAAATACCTTGGGTTGATGTTTCATCAGCCTAGTGCTAGGAATACTGTGTATCTATCATTAGCTATATGGGACTATATCGTAGATTGTGGTTTCTCAGTAGAGAAGTGACTGTAGTGTGATTCTAGATAAATCATCATTAGCAATTCATTCAGATGGTCAATAACTTGAAATTTATAGCTGTGATAGGAGTTCAGAAATTGGCACATCCCTTGAAAAAATAACAATGGAAAATACAACTCCTGGGAAAAAAGGTGCTGATTCTATAAGACTATTTATATATGTAAGTGTTTAAAAAGATTATTTTCCAGAAAGTTTGTGCAGGGTTTAAGTTACTCCTATTCAACCACACTATCTATATAAATAAAATATATACAATATATACATTGTTTTCACTGTATCACATTAAAGTACTTGGGCTTTAGAAGTAAAAGCCAACTGACTGAAAACATGAGAGGGAGAAATGTAAAAAGAATGAAGGACAATTTTTAGTTTTCAGTTCAATTGATTCTCCGCATTACAAAAGAACAAGTATCTCACAAATAGGAAACACAACTAAAATTTAGATCTAAAAGAATTGCACGGGCTTTAGGGTAAACGCTTCATCTTAAACCTCGCTGGAGGTAAGTTTTTTCAAGTTTCAAGCAAGACCATTTACTTAATGTGAAGTACTGGAAAGTTCTCAAGGTGTATGTTTTAGCCATATAATTTTAATTTTCCTTTCGCTTCTTTTAGGTTGGTTCTTATTTAAGCAATATGATTGTGTGACTACCTGTAGTTACACTTGTGTTTCAATCAGATCAGATTGTTGTATTTATTCCACTATTTTGCATTTAAATGATAACATAAAAGATATAAAAAATTTAAAACTGCTATTTTTCTTATAGAAGAGAAAATGAGTGTTGGTGATTGTATTTTAATTATTTAAGCGTCTCTGTTTACCTGCCTAGGAAAACATTTTATGGCAGTCTTATGTGCAAAGATCGTAAAAGGACAAAAAAAATTTAAACTGCTTATAATAATCCAGGAGTTGCATTATAGCCAGTAGTAAAAAGAATAATAATAATAATAAAACCTTGTCTATAGCTGTAGATGGGCTTCACATCTGTAAAGCAATCAATTGTATATTTTTGTGATGTGTACCATACTGTGTGCTCCAGCAAATGTCCATTTGTGTAAATGTATTTATTTTATATTGTATATATTGTTAAATGCAAAAAGGAGATATGATTCTGTAACTCCAATCAGTTCAGATGTGTAACTCAAATTATTATGCCTTTCAGGATGATGGTAGAGCAATATTAAACATGCTTCCACTTTTGATTGCTCTTTCGTACGGTGTTTTCTTTTTTTCCCCTCCCCCCACTTAAGAACCAAATCAATAAAACATTGCCCTTTGTGGCTTTCCTTCAGAGAACATCTCTGAGTTACCTGTTCCCTAAAAATAAGGTACGAGGTTAAAGAAGAGCTATATAAAGGCTTGTCAGAATGAATTCTAGGGTGCCAAGAGACATTTTGCATATTTAAGAGTATGCAAAGTGTCTCAAGCACATTAGAATTCATTCTGACAAGCCTTTATATAGCTCTTATTTAATCTTAAAGCGTCTCACATCATCCTACTTTACTCCAAATCATCGCCTCTATGTCAATGTCATAACAGAAAACTTTCCCCCTATTTTAAGATCCTATTAAAACCTGCTAGAGATAACCTATTATTTCCCTCCACCCACAATTAAATCAGGTGCCGGCTCTGAGCTTGGCAGCCAGCAAGCTGCTGGGTCCGTGGAGCAGCGCCAGGCAGAGGGGCCAGCAGGATTTCCCGAGGGGGCACCAGTTCCAGAGCTTCTAGAACGGTGAGGCTGAGGTTGGGGAGCTGTCTTGGAATTCAGGAGGGTCAAGGACTGCAGTGGGTCCTGCTTAGCTCTTTCTTCCAGAAAGGCGAGGGCCCTTGCTGCTCAGCGTCCGCTGTTCATCCACCAGCCCCTCCTGGCACCCTCTCCGAGGTGCTAATCCCTGCTTCCTTGGCTTCTCGGCTTATCTGGATGGCCTCCTGTCACTATTTGCCCACCGTGTTTCTCACCTTTCCGAGGTGGCCGGTGCTCTAGAGAAATAAGCTGATAACACCGCATCCGATTTAGGGGCGCACGACGGCCTAAATCACTGAGGTACACGAGCTGGCCACAGGATTCAGACTTGTCTTTTCCTGTTTGAATGTCTTTTGAGTGGCGACAGCCCAGGGTTGTGTGTGACATGTTCTACTCTGGACAATTTCAAAATATTTGGGTAAAACTGAGACCCTGCAAGAAGGGAAATTATGCCTATAATTCTTTCCAGTAGGTCCTCATTTCAAAGTATATGTTTTCCACATACACACACACACACATGCATGCTTTTGAAAACTTTTACATCAGAATTCTCTTGTTGGTTTTTATAATTTAGAATTATTACAGAGTGACTTTGCTGGTACTGATGTGTTTATCATGGTTGCTTCAGGTGTAAAAGAAAAAAACAATAGGATTTTGATGTCTGTTTCTCAATATATAAATGAGGAGCTTTGACAAATGGGCTGTATTTATGTTGAGATATCACTTTTATTTTACCTATTGTGTATAAAGGAGTTTATTTTTTGTAAATGGCGGTTATGGAACTTGGCAGAACATTGGAATCACGTGAAGAGCGTTAAAAAATGCCTGGTGCTCGTGCTGAAGTTTGAGGTTTAATTGGCCTGGGCTTTGGAATCGTTTTGAAAAAACATCTCCAGGTGATCCTAATGCAAAGATGAGGCAACCACTGCTTTAAAGTTTTATACTTTTCTCAAGTCAGGAATGTCCTAAAAAATAAAAAGCCTTTTCAGACATTACCTCTGAGTTTTTATGAGGTTTTAGACTATCTTCTTTTAAAATATCAAGACGGAAGGACTTAACCTTTTTATTTTTTAATTCACAAAGCCAATGAAATGTATTTGCATGGTTTTCAACTCCACTTTCCCCCACCCCCTCACATCCACCCCTCACACCTTCATGCTTCTGCAGCATAGCACAAGTGTGGAGAACACATTTTCTTTGATAATTCCCAAGCCACATTTTCTGGTTATGCCCCAGATAATGGAGATAGAATGGAAATTCCTGCTAGACACTTGTGCAGAATTGCAGAATATCACCCAATCTTTTTTTTTTTTTTAATCCTGCTCATTTGGCCCTATCCTGAACTTTAAAATTAATTTAGGTTTGGTTGAAAAATACCTTTTTTTTTCTTACTGAAAAACGAAAAACCAACACAAAACAAAATTGATTTATTGGAATGATTCCCGTTACCTCTATTTTTGCAAGTTGCTGATGTAGATAAGCGGTAGAAATGAAATAGAACTGAAATAGAACATTTCGTTCTTGGGCCTGTGCAAAAACTTTAGGTATACTTTGTTACTGTGAAATTTACTTTGTGATTAAACTGTCAAAAGAGAGCAATGCTTAAGGTTTTCGTTTCGTCCACAGTGATGTAGACATGAAATGGAAAGTTCCAGAATCCAATAGACATAGAGTGTTTAAGTCATTGTTTCTGGCCCTTTCAAATCTCTTAAGTCTAGCTTCTGGTGCCCCTCAGTAGTGTGGAAAAAACAAAATGAAACAAGTGGCAGTAGATTGATTGTACACTGCATCTTATTATGAAACAAAATAGAAAAGAAAGGGATTTCAAAATATAATCCTCCTTTCCCAGGAGTATTTGTCTTGTTCTCCATGAAGTTAAAGGTCTGAAATAATGTGCCCATCAGGGGCTCAATGTTGCATGTCCATGCCAGTTGGTCCAAGGGCTTGTTATGATGGTAATGACCTACTGAAACGTGAGCTTGTATTGCAACAATACAATTGCTACCAGCTCACCCGCTGGGAGAAATATTTTATTATTGTCAAATGTCCTCCACAGAGATTTGTTTTGCCTGTTCCTGTTTAAATTAAATTCAAAGCAGGACTGCATTACGATTTCTCTGGAGTATATTTG